TGCTCGCGAAGCTGGAAGCTGCCAAGACCCAGGAGTCTCTGGGTGTCCGTGTGGTGGGTCCCATCTTGCGCCGTGTGATGGCACCCATCTACATCTTTGCTGCAACGCACGTTGTGGAGAGGCCCTGGACAAACGCGAGGTCTCAGTCGGTGGCACAGGAGCTGCTGGCATCGCTGGTCCAGGCTGCAGGCTGCGGGTCGGTGGCTGAATTCCTTCGGGGAAAGAGCGAAGATGAGGAAGGAAGATTTGCAGCAGTGATGGAGCTCCTGAAGCAGGAGTTAACCAAGTGAGTAGGAAGGGGAGGGCAGTGGTGGAAAGGGTGGCGTGTTTGGCTGGAAACTTGGGAAACTGTGTGAGCTCAGGCATTACAGGACACTCAGTGAGAAATATAGGGCCGAGAGCTCTACAAATACCCCAGTAATGGAAGGCGGGGGAATTGGTCAGGCTTACTGTCAGCTGAGAGGCCCAGATGCATAGGAAATGAGCATTTGTTGGTCCCATCGTTCACTGAGCTCATGTTTGTGTTTCCAGAGACACTTGGAAGCGTAACCCTGCCACCAAGTTTGTGTTCTCCTGGACGCTGCCGCACGTCAGCCGGCCCTGGCTTAGCCATTACCTGGAGCGTGTCCTCCCACCGTCGCTGCTCATCTCGGATGACTACCGGGAGGAGAATAAAATCCTGGGTGTGCGCTGCCTGCATCATATCATTCTCAATGTGGTAAGGGCTTTGGGAAGTTAGATCCCTTCCTGGGTGGTGTTTGAAGGAAGGGTGGGCTGGATGCCTGTTAGCACCCTTAACTTGTCATCCTGGTTCTGCTGTTAACCTGGCAGCTCTGCTCCGTCCTCCACCCTGTCCCTGTGTGTTTAAGTATCTGTAGTCCTTACGTCTGTTAACACGAAGCAACGAATTGCTTTGCCGCCCTCTGAACTCAGCCGATTCACACATCGGCCTGACAGTGGTGTGCAGAGCATTAAAGTCACACCAGTGGAGCTGCACAGATGCAGCTGGGGAGGTGAGGGAAAGCAGCCACTCCCCTGCGTGGCAGGGTTTAGCCTGCATTTGCTGTAGCACCTGCTTCCACTTTCTTCTAAGCAGTGTTCCTAACGTGGAGCATATGTGAGGGCTGTCGTGGCTTGGTTGTGGTGTTTTTGGTTTTTTTTTTTATAAAACCTGGGTTTCTGAAGGCTGCTCTGTTACTGGGTTAAGCGGGTGCAGAATGTGATGCACGAGAATAATGTTCTGTTCTGTGTTGTTGCAGCCAGCTGCCGATCTGTGCCAGTTCAACAGGGCTCAGGTTGTGTACCACGCCCTCTACAACCATCTCTACTCCCGAGAGGCCCCTCTCATCCAGGTAGGACGGCAGAACTTCATTGTAACCTGCCTCGCGGTATTGCGTATCGGCCCCACGAGGGACAGCCAGCCTAAGGCACGAGGAGGCAGAGCCTGTTCCCTTGCAGACAGTCCAGTCAGGCTGCTGCTAGCCGATGCCTGTGGCCAAGAGACAAAGTAACTCGGCAGATTTTGGGGAAATAGCAAAGCAGGTGGAAGGTAGCAGCCTTGCTGAAGAGGGCTGGTGACGGGTAGTAGGAGTAGTTGGGTCTGTCAGGAGAACTGCAGCTGCTGTGGGGGGCCAGGGGGTGGTTTTGGAGGGAAAAATCAGCAGGATTGCCCAGATTTACTGTCTCTCACCGAACCAGGCAGTACTGCTGTGCCTGCTGGACTTGCTGCCCATCCTGGAGAGAGCGTGGCGGCAGCAGAAGCAGGCCAGACCAGCGGCCCCCTGCGACGAGGTGCTGCAGCTGGTTCTGACCCACATGGAGGCAGAGCATCGCCTCGCGCTGCGGCGGGGGGAAGCCCGGGCGGTGGCCACCTGTGTGCGGCGGGGCCTGGGGTATCTGGAAGTCTGCGATGGCCCCGAGGAAGAAGCCCGACTGGGAATACTGGAGACACTGCAATGCACCATAGAGCACGCTTGGCCCAGGTACCGGCCCGGGGGTGAAAGAGGCTGTAGGAAGCCTACCCTGAATGCCGTTCCTCTTTGAGAGCCAAAGCTGCTGCTGCTTGAGGAAAAGGCCCTGTAATCTTATGGGAGAATCTGTCACAGGGAGGAACGCTGGCGTTACTGCTGTGCTGAAGAACCCAACTGAAAAGTTGAGCTGGGTCCTCACTTCGATGTGGCGTCTGCCTGTTCTAGAAGCATCAGCTTGGCTGAAAACTGAACCGGCGTTCTCTGCAGGGCAGAACTGCGGAGTCAGCCCCGTGCTGCGAGGCTCCTGACGCACCGTGCTAAGGTCACGGCTGTGTTCGGGCCTCTGTCCTCCCTCTGGTGCGCACACTGAAGGAGGCAGCTTCTTCAGCCTCGTCGGGGAAGCAGTTGCCCATCTTGGGCCAGCTACCGTCCTGCTCCAGGCGTGAATGCAGCTAGCAGCTCCTGCCTGAAGCGTCTCAGACCTGCTGCGCCAGGCCTTGCTTTCCCCCGGCTTCTGAAGAGGCTTTAGAATAAGGCACAGTTGCTGTCTCCCTGTGCAGGATGCCGTGCAGACTCCCTGTGCTCCTCAAGGCCCTGCTGAAGATGATCTGGGACGTACACACAGACCAAGGCTCCACGCCAGAGCCGGTAAAAGCCACCTTGCTCCAGGGAGCCACTGAATGCCTCATCCTGCTGGATCGCTGCTCTGAAGGGCAAGTGAAGGTGAGCTGGGGACCCAGCCCCGCTTCATCTCCCGTCCCTTCCCCCTGGGACGGGGCAGCATGGTGCATGCAAGAGCCCACTTGCTTCCCCAGTCCAGAAGTATTTTGAAAGCATCAGTTTCCACCCACCTCAACATTAGTCCTTGGCTTGATCCCGAGTGTGCCAAGCCACTGGGAACGGATGCTTTTCTCGTTTCAGGTCCTGCTGGAAGGCGTGTACAGCAGCTGTGAGGAGAACCGCGTACGGGAATGCATCAGAAAAGTGCAAGAGAGCACGTGAGGCGTGGCCGATCAACGCTCGCCCTGCTTTTTGTACAGTAAACTTTTGTATTTATTTGAAGTTACTGTCTTTCTCATCCCACCCCTGTTAGCCCCATACCTCCCCCAAACAAGATACACTCAAGTGCTTGCCTAGCCACACGCGGGCTTCTCCAGCTTTAGAACAAAGCAGCAGAGCCCCCCATCCAGGTTCCTTCCCCGAGCACAGTCCGAGCTGAGCCTTGCGTGGTTGTAGAGAAGGGGGGGAGGTGTTCTTCCTAAAAACTGCGCTTCGTGCAGGAGGTGTACGAACTTGCTGCGACTGCCTGGGGTTGGGACAGAAACCCTTCTTTTCTTAAAGAAAATCAGTCTGGAGTAGGGAAGAGGGAGCAGTTACTGAGGGTCCCGCACAGAGTGGTGACAGCCGGAAGGAGTTCAGCGACGGGTCTGGAGTCCTCTCACTCCGTACAAAACGCGGGCTGAGGAAGGGGTCAGGCTGCTTTTGTTTTGGTGGCTGGCTCCGTTTCTTCTTCGTACTCTATTTCAATGTAGGGACGTTTTCTTCTGGCTGGTCCTTTCAAGGGAGTTTTCCCTTTAGATTTGGCGTGAGAGGCCGCCTTCTCTACTTCTTCCTCCTCTTCCTGCTCCTCTTCACTACTTGTCTCCAACTTATCCATGTCCTGAGAAAGAAGTACAAGAGTGACGTCAAAGCACGCTGTGTAACTAAACCTCCTCTTTCTGTAAAATTCTCTCGTGTATCCGATTCCATATTATAATTCCTGGCTCCCAGCTGTCTAGCCAGAGGAGCTGGGCTGGAGTGGATACAGAGCAGTCTGACCGTATCGTTACGTTCCACAGATCTGATTTTGCTGGCTCTTACCCCATCCCCAGAGACACCGCGAGGGTGGAGGTTGCTTTCAAACAGCGTAGCCTGACAGCGTGTACCTGGTGCTTCACCTACCTCAAAGTCGCTGAGGTCACTGTCATCTGCTTCCACAAACTCTCTTTTATCCATGTCCTGCAAGAAATCAAGTCAGAAGCTAGTCCGTGCACACCGAGCACAACGCGGTGTCGCGACTGCCACGGAAGAGCAGCAGGGCCGCCACCTGCACGCACGTGCGCTTTCTGAGCTGAGCTCTCCTGAGGCCTCCTCACCCCGACAGCGCCCAGCACCAGGCGCGTCGGAGGAGCTGCACCAGGTCAGGGGAGGATCAGCTGCGGGGCCGGGGCTCCGAGCGTTACCTCGTCATCATCTTCTTCCTTCTCTGCATCAGACTCGCTCTCGCTTTCTGCGTCTTGCTGTTGCAGAGCTTTGTCAAAGGCGTGGATGGGGAAGTTGTAAATGTCTCCATACTGAAAAGGACACGGTGGATTTTGTGTAAGTCCCAGGAGGAAGGCAGCTGCTGGCGGGAGGGTCACCCAAAGCCCGCGGCCTGCCCGGAGGCAGCACCAAACCAGGCTGAGTGTGGCTCGGCCCCTTCCCCAGCTGCGCAGGACGCACTGTGGTATGGAAAGGGAGGGGCTCCACATTTTGGCAAGCAAGTTCCCCAGCCTGTTATAAATCCAGTCAAGGGCAGTGTGCAGTCCCCCCTACCCCTCCTGCACGGGTGATGCTTCCCTTTCCTACCACCGCCTGCGGCCCTCCCTGGAGAACCGGCAGGACGGAGGGCAGCCGGGGCAGTTCTGCTCCGTGCCCTGAAGGCAGCAACCCTTACCGTATCCTGCTTCAGCCTTTCCAGTAGTTCCTTCTCGATGGCGTTCTCCAGCTGAGCGGCAATCAAGGCTTTCTCCTAATGGAGCAAAAAGAGCTGTGTCAGTCTGGGAGACGGGGAACAGGAGCAATAGGCAGGAGATCACATGAAGGAGAAGTGTTACCTCTCTTCTGTTCTCTCGCCTCTCAATCTTTCTGCGTAAAGGAACGAGCTTCCTCCTACAGGGAACAACAAGCGCCAGCTACTGAATCTGCCAGCCTCTCGGGCACCAGATGCTCATTCAGGGCCACAGCCAGCAGCTCTAGCACTGGAAATGCGGCTGCAGCTCGTTTAAGTGCATTTATATACACAGACTACACTGTGATTAAATCACAGAATGTCAGGGGTTGGCAGGGCCCTCTGTGGGTCCCCCAGCCCAACCCCCTGCCCAAGCAGGGTCACCCAGAGCAGGCTGCACAGCACCGCGTCCAGGCGGGGCTGGAATATCTCCAGAGAAGGAGACTCCACAGCCTCCCTGGGCAGCCTGGGCCAGGGCTCCGTCACCCTCAGAGGGAAGAAGTTCTTCCTCATCTTCAGCTGGAGCTTCCTCTGCTTCAGTTTGTGCCCATTGCCCCTTGTCCTGT